GCGGAGAGGGCCCACGGCAAGCCTTGAGGCCCTCACACCTTCTGACAACTCCTGGGCCCAGGACACGCAGTAGTGTGGGAACTCCCGGCAGCCCCACTCCCCGCCAGCACCAGGCGTTGGCTCGTTTAAGAAACAGTATTGATTTCCACATTATCATGCACAAGTCATGAGGCACCAAGGGGAGGCGGGGGGAGCCAGCCACTGATTCCCGGAATGTACTTCCAGACACATTGATGTGTTCCTTTCCTTCAAAGTCAAATCGAGTCATCTCCATATATCACCATGGGCAGCTGTCTGGTTGGAAGGCCCGTTGGGCGGGGTGGAGGTGCTCTTCAGATAAAACTTTCTGGGCGCTGGGTCAAGGGAGAGGATGGAAGCAGGTCCGAGTCATCCCCAGTCCCAGCATCATGGTAGTGAGGGGCTGGGAGCAATATTCCCAGTCATTTGGTTGGAGGTCTCTAAGGAAGGGCCCTGTCGTCTATTTCTATGCCAAGTCTTGTGCTTTAGGGCTGGAAGCTCTCAGAACTGAGCCAGCTTCTAGAATCAGATATTGTACCTTTAGCCTAATTTTCCAGGGACTCACACTCAGCATTTGTTCATTCATTCATCCATTCACCCAATAATATTTATTGCCCAATGTGCTAAACATTGCGCTTACGTAGAAGACAGTATTGGATAAGACAGAAAAGATTCCTACCCTTTTGGACTTTAATTTACATTCTAGGATGTATCTCTGTAAGCAGTACACACTGAGGAAAGCTCGCCTTTTAATATGTGTGCATTTGTAACCAAGTGAAGAAAATTCTGAAGGGTACTTCGAACGAAGTAATGCATTATGATGTAATAAAATAAAGCTATTACAAGGCTTCTTGCAATATTGAAGGACTGAAGCAAGTAAGGGTAGGGATGGGGAGATATAACTTGATGGGATATCTGAGGATGTAAAATAAGAAGGTAGCCACCCAAGGAGCTAGGATTAGAGTGTTCATAACCAAAGAAATGGCAAGTGCAAAGGTCCTGGGAGGAGGATGAGTGCAGTGTGCTTGAGAGATAGAAAGGAGGCCGGGGGTAGGGAGCAAGAGATGGATCTGGGGAAGATGAAGTTGGAGAGGCGATAGGGGCCTGAAGGCAGTAGAAAGGAGCTTGGATTTTACTTGTTCGATCCATTCCTCTGCATATCTGGAAGTACAAAATGCTTCCTACCCTGTAGGTGCTGTGCAGAGTAAGGGATTCAGTGGAGTAGCACTAAGATGTGGCCTCTGCCTTCATGAGACCTATAGTCAGCCAGAGCAGTCTAGGTATTTAGGAAAGCCATATTCTCTTGAGATATGTAGATAAAAATGTCTTATGCTGTCAATTGAATCCCTCCCTCCTCAAGAGATCCGTGATGTCTCATGAGATCCCTTCTCACTTCCAGGTCGTGCCCAGGAAGAATTCTCTTCTCCATTTATTTACTTTGCCCTGTCCTCAAACTTCATGTACTCTCTGCTCCTAAGACCACTCACACAGAGTACTGATAGGTGCCTAACAGATCCCCAAAGGTTGGACTGGCATGAGTTTCATATTACTGTGCAAATAGTTTAAAATACAAGATTGTGCATCCTAATTTTCCTTTCTAAGCCCATTCAGCACCCATTATTCCCTTCTGATCACCTCTTGCTACAGTCCAGATGTTCACCATGGTGACAGCCCCAGTGCCTTCATGACCCTGCTCATTTTGGGGTAGATCTCTGTGGTCCTTCATACCCTTGACCTGGGTGCCTCTTGAAGATAGATTCTCCACTCTACTTCCTTGGGGTCTTGCGATTCGGGGGTCCAGAACTGATGAACTTGGAAACAAAAACTTGCCTTTCTTCTCTTACCAGGCTGCCATGAAAAAAACTGGTATCTGACACTGAGCCTAGAATCTTGTACAAGATAGGTATTCTGTAAATATTTGTCAAATAAATCAAATATCAAATGGGTAAGGATTTCCCACTAGACCTGAATAATTTATCTTCCTATCATTGAAAGTTGAGCACTAGGATCGATTTTTGTTGTTATCATCACCATCATCATCAATTCTGTTGCATAAACACCCAGCATAAATACCATAGGGTGTACCGTGTTGGGACAGGAGTAAGCAAGAGGGGGCTCTGGCCTGCCTGGTTGGCAGTTTCAGCTGAGGACCTAAGGAATCAGCCAAGGAAGAGGATAGGAGAATAATTCTTGGAAGAGACAGAGAGAAGTATAGTCAAAGTTCTGTTATAAGGAAGGGCCTGTATTGTTGCAAGAACAGAGGCAAGTTGGTGGACCAGGAGGGGAGGGGAGGGGAGGAAGGAGTTGGGACCATTGTGGGAAAAGGTCACCCAGGGACAGATCCAGCAGCCTGGTGCATCTAACAAAGAAGATTGGACTCCATCCTCTGAACAGTCTACACCCATTAAAAGGTTTTACAAGGAACATACCTTTTCCTTGGTTCATGCATTTTCTTACGCTTGTGAGGGACTTTCTACCTCCGTCCCTGTTTTTGCTCAAGTCTTACAATCATGCTCAATCTCCTAATCCCCAACCCTGACATGATTAATTCTCTCTGGTGAGCCCCAGCTTACAATAATACCCGAACTCATTTAGGGCATGCTTGCATTTTGTTCTGTTGGGAGAAATGCAGAAGAGAGTAATGGCTGAGAGTGAAAGCCCTGAAGTCAGGCAGCCCGGGTTTGCTGTTCACCAGGTGTGGGATTTGGGGTAGTGCACTCAGACCTTCCGTGCCTCGGTTTCCTTATCTGTAAAGAAGTGATAAGAGTTGGACTTTCCTCCTGGGACTGTATTAATTCACATGAAATACTCAGCACTGAATGAGAGGGTCAGGCATTCTTTTATTTTCTGCATCTATTACCAGACTCTGAACAGAGGTGTGGCTGTGTACTATATTACTAATATCTGGCACAGCCCTGAGCAGAGTAGATGCCCAGGAAGTATTCATAGATCTTACCACCTTTGGGGAGGGGGAGCAGTGGTTGGGAAATCCCAGTCCAGCAGCTCTTTATTAATGTTTCCGAAAGCAAACATACAGGTTTGAGTTTTGCTGTCGCCATGGTGGCTTACCCAAGTCACTTCTCTCTCAGCTTCTTCATCTTCACTATAAAGTTAATGTCTACTTTTTAGCTGTCATGGCAATTATATGGGATTGGGTCCAAGCATGGGACATGTGATCGGCCTGGCCAGTCAAAACGCTGAGGTCTCGAGTCTTGCTTAGGTTGGGAATGGTCATATGACCCAAGCTGGTCCAATCAGAATAGCTCTTGGGCATGTGGCGGAAGATATGAGAAGAGAGGATTTTCTCCACCAGGACAAGAATGTGGGAAAATGATGGGGCTGTAGTGACTGCAGTTACTTTATGGCTAGGATAAGAGGACATGGGGACAGGGAAGGCTGGGAGCAGGGGAGGTGGGGAGACAACATCTGCCGTGTCAGGTGGAGAGAAACTGAGTCCTAGTGATGCCATGGGAGCCCCGAGTCCAGATGTACCTGAAAGAAGCCCTTATCATGGACCTTTCCGCTCTGTGTACCAATATATACATCTGTTCACTTAGATCAGTTGGAGTTGGGGCTCCTGGTACTCAGCACAGAAAGAATTCTAACTCATGCACTGTTTCAGCAGTGCTGTTCCCTCCCACTCTCTGCCAAGGCTTCTGTGCTTCTAGCAGCAACGAAATCTATGGTAGTCCTTTCAGGTAGTCTGCCGTCATAGCCCCTGTGCCCCTTTCTTTTGCATAACAGAATCTGGTGTTATCCAGGTGGCAATTAAAAAAAATTTTTTTATGGACAGGACAGTTATATTTATTTCAAAATAAAAACTTTGTTGGGCTGCATCACGTGCAGGAGAAAAGGAGTATTTAGGGGCATTGTTAAATTACCAGTGTGCAGAACAGTGAGGTATGCCTCAAGCCTTTAAAACTTTAAAAACTGAAGTGTAACATAACCATGCAATAGTAGTTTTTTCAGTGCTAGTAATGAAAAAAAAAAAGCCTACACTGGAAATTTACAATATGGCAGAATTTTGTTGCTCCTACCTTTTGACCCTAATTTACAGGTTTTATAGCAGGGTCTGTGTAAAAAATTAACATTTTCACAAGATTTTAAATATCACTGGGAAGCTGAATTTTAAATATCACTGAGAAGCTGAATTTAAAGGAAAGAAAATCAGATAAAAGTAGAATGCCGTGACAGCCAGCATTATGTCAATGGGCTGTATGAGGTTGTTCAGAAGGCAAGGGTTAAAAAGATAGACAAAAAGATTTTTTAAAATTACCAATGTGCCGATTTGAATATAAGTACACCAAGTACTACAGCAAGGGGAAACATTGCAAAAAGCTCATCTATTTACAAAAGAGTGATTTTTTTTTTCTTTACAAAGCGATGCAAGAACAGGAATTGTCCACTTTTTTTAAATTCTCAGAAGATGAATCATTGTAAGTCTCAGCCCATCATGACCACCCCATTTCCTTTGGCCAAGGACTGGTCTCAGAGCAGACGCACCACCCAGTTTGGACCAATGAAGTAATGGAAGACATCTACTTGCACCAATGAGATAAAAGAAGACATCTACTTGTAGCTTCTGGAAAATATTTTTGTGACTGATAAAACAAGAAGACAGATGAGAAGGCCTATTTATGTCTGCCTTCTCTTCCCATACAGTCTCATATGAGGTTGAGCTGCATGGAGCTGCTGCAGCCATCTTTCAACATGAGGATACACTGTGACTTCTCAGAAGTGGTGGAGGAAAAGAATGGAAATGTTCTCAGTTCTTGGTGGTACAACAGCTGAAGAAGCCACTTACCTCTGCAACAACTTACCTCTGAATTTCTTATGAAATGAGATAATAGCTAATTATCGCATTTAAGCCATCAGTCATTAGGCATGATTCCTTGAAGCCACTGCACTCCTATCTAGTACATGTATCTAGGTGATACCGAATCTAGTTTCTCATCAAAAGAAGGACCCAAGGCTAAGAACATCAGCTCCTTTATTATTACTATTATTATTTACTGTTTTCCCCAAAACAACAGCAAAACTCAAACAACAATGACACAAATGTCCCATACCCATATACACAATACCACCAGCTTATCTGCCAGACTACCTGGCCCTTGCTTGGTTCCTGGCAGGGCTGACTAGAAACAGCCCCCTCTGTAAAAATCCCAGCTGGGACGTAGGGGACACGAGATGGCGGGGACCTCAGCCAGGGAATTAACTGAGGGGCTTCTAGAGTCTTTGGGGAGTGCCAGTTTGAGAACCGTGGGAACATGCTGTAAACATTGGGGCAGAGGGCAGAAGGCACTGTTTAATTTGATATGGTTGGTGGACAAATCCCATCTGGGAATATAAGACCTGTCTATTCCCCTTTGTGAGCCAGCGGGGTCGAAACACAGTGGGCTGAGCCAAGGGCTCCACTGATGGAACCATGAGGCAGTCATGAGAACGGCAAGCCCAGAGCAGGGTAATGGGGAGGTCCCCAGAGAAAAGTGACCCTCGCACTACTTGCAAGGTAAGATGCAACGTGAAATGTTAAGTCCCCGTTTCTTTGTTTCGCAACTATAGAATGTGCAATGTTTTCATCAAGATAGAAAAGATAAAGAAAGAAAAACCAGTACTTTGGCTTTAACGCAACAATCATGGTTTACCTATTGCGTCATCCTGTGGAGAAATCTACTGCTATGGTAGCCAGGAAATCTGTGGTCATTCTCCCTTCCCCCTATTCCCCAACATTTTAGTTGCACTAAATCTGAGTTCAGCTAAAGTAAGGTACCCTGGAGTCAGAGAAGCCCTGGGGTTGGGGAGGGAATGAGGATGGACCCAGGCCGGGGTCTCAGGTACAGGTGACTTCCTGGCTGTCCTGGGGAAGCTCATTGTTGAAACCGCTCTCTCCAAATGGTGCATAAGGTGGCACCTGAGGAGCTTCGATGATCAGCAGCCCCTCTGGGGAAAGTGAGGCGAACACCGTTACAGGATCCACATCTGCAGGAAGCCTAGAAAAAACACAAGATTTTATTCATCATTTTAAATATGGCTTAAATACTTTTCTTCATTTGAGGGAAAATATTTTGAATAAGAGGTTAGGCTTTGGGCAAATCGTGCTCAGTGTTTGAACCGTGGTTCTACCTCTTTGGAGCTGTGTGACCTTGGGAAGGTCACTCAACTGCTCTGATCTTGTTTTCTCTTCTGCAACAGAGAGATAATAATATTGAACTTGTACAGTATTTGAAGATCCAGAAAGAGTCAGAGTCTGAACACGCTTTGCCACTGGTAAAATGCTAGTTGGAGGTAGTTCTTAACTTAAAAATGGGCTGTCAGCCCATGCATTTGGTTCTGTGTTGAGGTTTCCACCCTAGCAGAGTGGGATAAACTGGCAAAACGATGACTACCCTATTCCTGTAGAAAGCACCAGGAAATATTAGAGTAGGGAACACATTTTCATTTGTCATGTGCCCAGGGGAGAGTGCTTTACTACAAAATGCATTCGTGGTGCAGCAGGCAGGCTGGCAGATAAAATGGTCAGGCTGGCCACGTGGACAGGTTCAGACAGCAGCATGGTCCATGACGCTAAGAATGAGACTTGGCTTGGGCTACGTTTTGATCAATAATCAAGGTTGTAATCGTTTTGCTCCCAAAACTCAGTGATAGGCATCATGTGGTTGAGGCTTCTTGAGCGTTTAGTATGATTAAAAGGTGTGAATTAGTATGCCCATCCTACACACAACTAAATGGGGACTTGGGGTAAACCAAAAGACAAGGTGAATGAATGAGGAAGCATTAAAAATGGAACCTCTGAACTCAGATCTGATAATAGCTATGATAAGAGCTTGTTTTTTATTATTTTGATGAGTTTTGAAACGTAACTGAAACTACCTCAGATACGATTTCTTCAACAAACTTGAAATGGTGCGGACACGTTAATGGTCTCACTGGGGTGCCACGATTAATAAAAAATAATGAGAACCATGACCGTTTCAACACTCTGTGTCACATACTTTAACTGAATCATTTCATCTCGTTTAGTTGTGAACAGTAATCGCACAAGGCAGGTTCTGTTACCATCCCCAATTTATAGAGGAGGAAACTGAGGCCCAGAGAGGGGAACTGATTGCCCAAGGTCATACATCTGGTGTATGACAGAGGGCATTATGGGAATTGGAACTGGAACCCTGGGTTCCAAATGTGGAGTAGCAAACCACGATGCCCTACTGGCTCTACTGGCTCAAATCTTTGGAGAAAGGACTATTTAGTGGGGAGGGCAGGAGGGTGAATCATCATAGACCTTTCCACTGGTCCAGGCCAGATCTGCCTGTTATAAATGCAAGGGTCTTGATGAATGAACCAAAACACAAGTAGGGACCTATTCCTGACCATGGCAGGGCCTTTCCTGGAAGGGCTAAGTAGCTGTTTGCTGGAAACAGCAACCTGAACTCCCAAGCCCTACATCCATCCAAAGACGCCTTCCGAATTGGAACCCCAGAGATCAACAAGCATATCGCTGCTGGTGGTGGGTGGGTGGGGTGAAAAAGAGAGGAAAGCTGGACAATTGCTAAACCAAGGTTTTAAAGCAGAGACAAAAGGAAAGTATGAACCACCCTCACACTCCCGGGGATGGGCTGACTCTGACCATTTGTCTGCCACCCCAACAACAGGCACCTCACCCAACATGGCACAGCCTGGGCTTTGCAGGCAGATTTGCATTCAGATTTGGGCTCTTCCTGACTGTCAGGATTTGGCCTGATGATTTGTTCCTTCTGAACCTATATCCTTGTAGGAAAAATCATGTAATAATCGTATCTTTCTGAGAGTGGCGTGAATATTACTTTGCCGTCCTCAGTCCCACTTGTTGGCATCTTGATGGCTGTGAATATATTTTAACACAAGCCCCAATGTCATTGAACCACAAAATGTCAGAGCCTAAGAGGGTCTGCCCGTTTGTCCAGGACAGTGCTCTCATTTTACATATGGAGAAACTGAGGCCCTGAGACTCATTCAGGCACCCAGGTGTTCTGTGTGTTGAACCCACATCATAGGAAAGTTACTCTTCTTCAAGACCCCTTTAACCTTTCCACTTTCATCTCAGAGTGGGGCTCAGCTAAGTGTCAGTAAGCTTTGGATCCCTTTAGGCTCTGTCACTAACTTTCCCTTTTTGACAAGGAGCTGGTCGATCTAATGCTTAGCCCCTCAGGCACACAATATTATCTAGTTAGGATTTAAACACATTTTGCCTTCATTGGATTTATTTCACGAATGCCTTCTTCAGTGAACATTTTAATGATGAGAATTTAACTTTATCAAAAGTGAGTTGATCTAAGTATATGAGACAAAAAATAGTAAGGATGGCACGTGAATGATTGTATTGCAGATGACTGTAATTCAGTCCCCCTAACCAAATGAGAAATTCCTTAGTCTTTAACATAGTGTGCTATTTTTAAAGTCTCTATCTGTTCTTTTTTTTGAAAACTGTTTTCCTGAGATATATTTGGCACATAAAATTATATGCACACATATATGGAGTATAACTCTATGTTTTGATACAGGTATGCATTGTGAAATAGAGCCAGTTGTCCTATCTGTCACCTTGAAATAGTGATTTTGTGTGTGTGTTGTGAAGATTCAATTTCCAATGCAGCCTTTTAGAAAACTTCACATGTGTAATCCAGCACTGCTGACTAAGGTCACTGTGCTGTATATTAAACCCTCGTCTCACTGAAAGTTTATAACTTTTTGGGCCGGGGATTTCGCCCAGTGGTTCCACTGCCTGCTTCACAAGCACAAGGTTCCCGAGTTCGATCTCCAGTATTAAAAAAGAAACAAACGTTTATAACTCTTGGACCTATTTCCCCTTCTTTCACAGCCCCTGGCACATATCATCTTAATCATTCCCTCTATGAGTTTGCATATTTTATATCCCCCATAAAAGCGAGAGCATGCAACATTTCTCTTTCCCTGTCTTGTTTATTTCTTCTAGTGTAATATCATCATTCCTCAGCTCCATCCCTGTGGTGCCAGGATTTTCTTCTACTTTTTTAAGGCTATATAATATTCTAGATCTGCTGTTTATACTGGATGAATGTCCTCTGGGATTCAGTGTCTTCAGCCACAAAATAAGATTATTTCAAAGATGAAATAAAATTCAATCTGCAAACCTCCTAACATGGCTCTCGGTACATCGTAAGTGTCAGGGAATGCCAGAACAGATACCTAAGAAGGTATGGAGCAAGGAGAATAAAGTTTGCCTTGGCTCCAAGCATCCTTCACTAATGACTTCTTGCTTCCTGTTTGCTCTCTGCTCCAACTTCCTCATAGAAAAGAGCTCAGCTTCAGTTCCTGCCCCCCACCCGCCTGAAAGTCGAAATCCAAGACCTCTCCTCTCCCCTTCATGCAATCAAACTAGAGCCTCTGGATGAATTTCTCAGCCTAAGGCAAACAGCTGCAGCCTCCCGCCTTGGTGGAACTCTCTAAGGATCCCAGGCTAGCTGAAGGAGCCCCTCTGTCCTCTAAGGACTGACATTTTTCCTGGAAGAGGCAGGGAGGTCCCTTGAGATTGGCTCAGGGTTGTCACAGACTCCAGCCCAGCCCCTTGATGTCTCCAGTGTGGCCAGAGTCAGGAGCTCCCAGGAGTCCCAGCCGTTTTCCTATGATTCCAGCCTTGTGGGCTCTTTTAATATTAGTTCCCATAGACCAAGCATGGAGTCTGCCCCCCACACTAAAAGCTTTGTCCACACCCTGCCACTTCTCTCTATGACTCCACCAGTGAGAGGATGCAGGAACAGAGCTCAGTGCAGTCAAGCAAGTTGCTCACTTACTTTATCATAAGCCAGGACCTCCTATGCCTATGCCCAGGGCTGAGATTTGAAATATTTAACAATTGCTACTGCTGGGCACTGGCCAATCAGAAGGGACGGACACCTGTCACAGTGATGGAGAACAACCCTGGGACCCTTTCGTTGTTGCAATGTGGGGAAGTGTGCATGGGCCCGAGGACAGTGTCAGGGAGGCTAGGGTCACGTAGATCGGGTGCACTGAGGGGAGTACTCAGGGCAACTGTTAGAAGGAATTTTAACAAGGAGCCCACCACCAGCTGAGTAGCAGCAGCACGACATGGGCCAACGATAAGCATTTGTATCTGGCCAGGGGATTCCCAGGGAGCTGACTCCTCCAAGGCCTCAGAGCTGGGGAAATCAGTGAAAATGGCCATTTTTAAAAATGATTAATTGCCTGGCTTCTTTCCTGCTCAGTCCCTGTCACAGATAGGCCCTGTTTGTCATTCTGTCCTGAGTCCTTGTTGGAGTCTCTGGAAAGGCACAGCAGCACCCTCCCTTTCCCTTTTCCCTTTGCCATCAACATTGTTTGATCTGGTGACTGTGCCAAGAAAAGGTGAGGGTCACGGGATGGCAGGCCAGCCAGCGACCGAGAAGAAAAAAGGCTTTGGCATTTTTCTTATCAGAGGTGTCTGCAGGCTTCCAAGAACTGTGAGGGTCGGAAATGGGCAGGCGTGGGGAGAGACAGGAGTGCAGAAGCCTAAAGCTGAAAGAAGCCCCAGAACTCAGCTGGTGCAATCTCTCCAACCCAGCACAGCTTTGTCAGGGCCGGTGGAGAGTTTAGGTCCAATAACAAGAAGAAGAATGTCAAGCTGCCACTCGGAGGGCCCACTGTGCACGGGGGAGCTCAGCTGGTAAATCTGCGAGGCTGGATCAGCATTCCCTTTTGCAGATGAGGCAAGAGCACTCCTTGCTCAAGACCTGAGCGTGGAACTCAGAGGTCAGGGATCTGTACGGGGCTCTGCTACATTCTTATTATAAAGGTCTTGAGTATGTCCTTTCCCTGTGAGAGACTTAGCTTCATCCTAATACAGGGAGAACAAGGTCTCTTTTCCCTGATAGGCATCTTTGCTGCAGAAGCCAAACGCGGTGATGACTGTGAAAGGACCTTAGTGCCAGAAACACACATGGCAGAGTGATGTTGATTAGAGAGATGGCACCTAGCCACTGCCCCACGAGGGGAGCTGTCATCCCTGCTATGAGTTCTTCTCTCCACAGGAGAGATGCCTTGGCCAGCCTGCTTGTCTTCTGGTTGTTCTTTGACCTGAGACTCTTAAGGCTCTGTCCTCTCAGCAAAACTGACTTCTCCTCTGTCCCAGTGTCTCTCAGCCTCCAAACCCCCGTGACTGGGTAGTAAGTCGAGATACTGGGACAAAGGGCAGCTTGGTTTGTGTGATGCTCTGGGGAAGATGTCAGTCTCCTGGCCACGGTAGCACATAGCAACCTTCCAAAGATCCTCCCAAGGCATTTGAGGTATGAGGCGAGGGTCTCTTTTGAGGGTGATGCATCTTGCCTCAGCCAGGCCACAGGGGTGGTGAGTGCCCCAACTCTCAGTGTCATTGTAGATGAGTCACTTTGCCCCTCTTATTTTTCGATGGGGCTGGTTCCACCTCACAGGGCACTGGGCAGATGAGGTGCAGCACCCATGCACTGCTGCTTCTGGGACCCTCCTGCAGGTTTGCTGTGACACCTTCTCCCCTTTAGGGATGAGGGTTCAGTTCTTTCCTCCAGGAGGTATCTCCCAAGACAGAAAGATCCCAGATTTGGGTCTCAGGTATCCCCCGCTCACCCCCACCCTCACATCCACACTGTAAGGTCACTTACTGGATTTTCTTTGTGAAGTTCTTGGAAACAATGCCTCCTTCTTGCTGCTTCTCTTCGTGTTTGCCTGGAAGAAAGAGGAGCATGACATGTCAGCATCTGGGGCCTAGAGGTGGTTCAGGACTGGGGCTGAGCTTCAAATCCTGCCTCTGGCCCTGCCTCCTGTGTGACTTCCTTATGGTCTAGAGACCTCAGGGTCTGAGTCACAGCGACCCCATTGCACTCCCACATGGATACAGTTGAACCCACCTCCCAGGCTGTTTGTGAGGATGAATTAAGACAATGGACAGGAAATGAGGCTTTGACCAGAGTTTTTTGACAATTAAACATTGGTTTTAGGAAATCACAGGCGCTGGGCCACGTGGTGTATCCTACCTTCCTCATTTCTCACCTAACTCTTCTCTAATCTGCCAGCAGAACCTGGGGCTAACAGCCCTGATGGGCTAGAAGAAAGAAGCAGAGTAAAACCACATAGCAAAGGCTTCTTTTGCATGCACAGAGCCCTCTCCTCACTCTAAGGATGAACTTCTTTTTCCTCCTCCTTTTTGCTGTTAGGACTCATGATGGGTCCAACCAAGGTCATCCAGCCCCTTGTGGCTGCTCCCACCTTCGAATCAGCTCTTTCTGAGTCAGGTCCTGGGACCTCATGTCCCTGTCCTCAGATTTCTGTCCGTGCCAACTACTGATTAGCTTTTTCAGCCATATTATCTGTACCTAGTAGTGAACCAACAGTCCAGAAATAATGCTTCAATCTGCTAAACACAGCCATCCTCTCCCAAGAGACGCTCCCTTAGAGAGGGAGGCCACAAAAGCACAGATGTGAAATTCCATCACCCCACCCCTACAGGGTAGCAGGGAAGGGCCATGCTAACCCCTTCTGGGAGGAAAAAGATGAAATTACAGGAAGCGTTGAGCCCAGACTAATTTTTATTTTGCGACATAGCAAACTCAGATTCCGCCCCCACCCCCGCCCCGGGTGTCTCCAGTTTCTCTTTAAACAAACAGGATTAGCGCATGGAGATGGTGGAGCCCCTCAGCTCCAATCTCTTTTAAATCTTCATTTGGGAGGCCACATTCCAGAGCCCAAGAGTCCCATTTACACACTGGGGACCTTCTGAGGGGCTGCAGAGTCCAGATTATAAATAACCTTGTGGGTTACAAATAACCCATGGATTATAAATAACCTTGTCTATATGCAAGATTTTTTTAAAACTGAGAAGTTATTGGTGATTGCGTTACAAATTATTTTAGGAAGAGTAATATTCCTTTAATAACTTTTTGATTATAAGATAATATATATGTATTTAGAAAATATAGAAGATAAGGAAAGAATCAGTACCACCCTGAGGAAGCCATAGAAAAAAAAGAGTAAAAATGATTTTTTACATGCTCCAGAATTTTTCTGTTTCTTAGAAATGCATAAATGTTATACAGCGAAGATACATATCACCTATTTATCAAATGGGATCGTTCTATGTAATTGTGCTCAAAACCCATTTTCTTCTCTTGCTAATATATAGTAAGCATTTTTCCATATTACTAACTACTTTTGACGACATGATTTTAAGCACTGTGCAGTATCCAGCTGTAGAAATATATAATAGTTCACTTAGCCGATTATTTTGAGGCACTGAAGAGATTTCCAACATAGGGAAGAACTTCATGGAACTGAATAGATTCTCATACTAGGCCTAATGACTTCTGGAGGGTTAATTCTAAGCTTCAGGGTGTCTAAGGCTTAGTCTATAGTGCTAAAGTGCCCTTTAGGAAAGACTACTGATTTATTCTCCCATTAGCAGGGGAGAAGGGGTCCATTTGTGGGAATTTCTTTTTTCTCCCATTAAGTTTATTGGTACATTGAAAACAAACAATACAGTTACATGTATCACTGGGATCTCGTACCTTTACACGATAGATCTTGATTCTCATTTTTTTCCCATCCCCCTGCCCTCTCTTCACTCACTTCAACCTTCCCTATTTACAAAGGCTTTGTTTCCATTTTATGGGAATTCCTTTTTAAACTAAAGTGTCTGGTGACCAGGGCGTGCTATTCTGTTAATCTGCTGTTACCCCAAGAGCTTAACGTATCCTGCCAACTCTGTGACAACCAACTTCTCAGCTTTATCATGGGCCTGTCGCCAGAAAGCACTGTCTGTTCCCTGGTCCCTCCCCAAAGCCTGGGCCCCTAAAGGCCTGCTTCCCTGGGGACAGGCCAGTACCTCTGACTCAGCCTTTTTGTATCCTGGAATCCTTCTGCATGTCTGGTGCCCTGAGAATCACGATCGTGATGATGATGATGATTACAATGGTAAGAATAATAATAGCAAATTTATACAGACATTAACAGTGATTCAACTTAGTATTTCTCAATTTTGCAATGATGCCCTTTTTCACTTTCAGTAGTGTTCAATAAACTACATGAGATATTCAACACTTCACTATAAAATAGATTTTCTGTCCCGTGATTTTGCCCAATTGTTGGCCAGTGTAATGTTCTAAGCATGTTTAAAGCAGATTAAGCACAGCTATGATGTTCAGCTAGTCAGGTGTATTAAAGGTATCTTGACTTACAATATTTTCAGTTTATGATGGGTTTGTGGGGACATAATGTGATCCTGAGCCAAGAAACATTGGTATAGAGGTGATTTTGTGTCAGCCACTGTTCTAAGCACCTTATCTGAGTGATTCCTTTACTTTTCACCACCTTAGGAAACAGGTACTTTTGTTATTATCATTTTGTGAATGGGGAAACTGAAGTTCAGAGAGCTTAAGTAATGTGATTTAAGCGATGTGAGCTTTAAGCTTGAATCTTATCACTTGGGAGTGCTGGAGCATAGATTCAGAACCAGATGTTTCCAGAACCCTTGGGTTTGGATTCGAATCCCTGCTCTGACATTTCCTAGCACATTTCGCCTCTTCTTTGAGCCTCAGTTTATTCTTCTCTAAAATAAGGGAGATGTCTTACTGGATTGCTGTAAAGGACAACTGAAAGAGAGTCACAGAATCACTGTGTGAGTGGTAAAAGGGGCTGTGTGAAGGTGGCCCTTGCAGTTTTCTTTGATGCTTAGGGAAAGACTTGAACCTGAAAAGCCAAACATCACTGTCCGTGCTTTAAAATTGGGGTTTGGAGTTTAGAAAGGAAATTTATCTAAGTAGGAAGGGCTCTGAGATTGCCGTAGGCATATCTGGGGAGGGTGATAATCTTGTTAAAAGAGAGGCAGATTATCCTGAAGTTCATCTGCACATTATTTACATACTTTGATTGTTTGGGCAGTTTTTAGATTATGAGTGATTCTTAATTTCTAATTTTGCTTTCCAGTGTTCATTTTATACCATAAAAATATTTTCTTTTCGTAGGCAGGGAAAAGTAATAAGTACGATTTGCAAAGAAAGTGTCACCTGAAGTCTGGGGAAAGAAGCGATTCCTTGCAGCTGCCATTTCCCCTACATGGCTTGGAGAAATGTAGGTGTCAGAAGCTGGCAGAAGACTGGCAAATGGGATTGGCCCGGCTAAAGAAGGAAGGCTCTGTTTCCAGGGAAGATGGAGGCTGAGGGATTAAGGAGAAAGGGTGGAAAAAGATCTTAGGGCTTTCCAGTCCCTTCCTTAGCCAGAACCTGGCCCAGTGGCCCACGAAGAGAACATTTCGTGGCTGGCAGCTTCAGAGTAAAGGTGAGGAAATGTGAGACATGGGGGCAATCATCTAGTTCATCATTTTCCAAACATCTCCCGGGAACAAGACATTCATAGGTATTCAGGTAAGTCTGCCCTTCAGAGATTTATAAACAAATGAAAGTCTCGACAGGAGGAAAGAATCTGTTCATGATTCTGTTTCACCTGGCATCTTCTAAAACTTCTCTTCCTCCATTACTCAGACATCTAACAACACCGTATAGAGGCGTTGTTCAGCAAATACTGGCATAGTCCACCTCTTTGTAAGACCAACAGACAAGCTCAGGCCCTAGAGGTGGTGGAATTTGGCCTGGGCCACACAGTCAGAGGTAACATCGATCCATCCTAACCCAGAACTGTCCAGGCCGGCTTGCCTTTGAATCTCAGTCACTGAGAAATGGACAGTCCCAGGTGAATGACTTTCTCTGGGCCTCCTTTTCCTTATCTGTGAAATGAGCGGTGACCACCCATGTTCCTAGAACATGCCTGTGAAGACCCAGGAAGCCAGTGTTGGTGGGTATTTAGCACAGGGCCCCCCACAAAATGCTTGTGGAAGAACAGAGTTATCAAAGCGTGGTGCAGCATGGGAGACAATCTGTCTTCCAACATCCCTTGGAAATTGCCTTCACATGGAGCCCCTGTTACCGTTCCTGTTTTTAAAACCTCTTTTAAGAAGGCTCTTGAATGTGCTCTAGGTGAAGTCACCAATTGCTTCTGTAAGAGACTTCATCGTGGTCTTATTAAAACTCCATTTCACAGATGCGGAAGTTGAGGCACCAACATGTGTCCAAAGCCCTCAAATAAAATGAGTAAGGCTGCCAGGCCTTACGTGTGGAAGATAGAGGTCAGTGGGTGTGGAAGACTTGGGGGCCGTGCGATGAAACAACTCTGAGTAAGCAAGGACAGGACACATGGTGATAATAGTCACCCTGCGTACAGAGTGTCAGGCCGGCACGCTTACTCTCTCTGCTTCATAGCCACTCTGACTGCATTATCATATATTGTCTGCCTAGACTGAATCTTCTCTACAGCCTTGGAGAACAGGTATTTTTAGGGTCTCTATTCTGTCGTAGGGGAAACTGAGGCTCAGCATGGTGAAAAGACTTTCCCGTCCATGGCTGTCCAGCTAATGGACAGCACTGCTGGGATTTGAACCCAGGTTCCAAAGAACACCTGTCATTATTATATATTGGGAACCTTCCCATGTGTGCTACACTGTTGTTATCACAACACTGCTTTTACAACAGTAATGACAATCCTGCTTCCTGGGGTTACAGCACCATGTTTGTGCACACGTTAAGGGCATCGCCTGTATAATACTGTGATCGTTTGAACACTGATTTCCAGATAAGGAAATAGCTACCCAAAGTTGAGTCTTCTGCACATCCTGCTGGTTGATGCCTGAGCTGCTGCCTCTGGGACTCTTGCCTGGTTCCCCAGCCAACTCAGCCCTCCTCTCCCCCATCCGCACGTGCCCCCTGTGTCTCCTGGGCCCACCACACCCGAAGCTACGTGGGTCCTCTGATGTTTATAATTCTGCCACCAGCGACTTTGAGACGCCCCCTGAACATTGCCTGCCAGCCAGGGCTTGTCCTGGCTCATGTTTGCAATGGCTTTTATTGATTTTCTGGCTGACAGTCCTCCGCCAGGAACACAGGCTTTTTACTGGAGAGTTAATTGGGAGGGAAGCGAAACAAAGCTTTGGTCCCCTCCACGTAACAGGGCCTGAGCTTCCCGTCTCTATCACCTTGCCTTCCCCCAGTGTGTGGAAGCCAGGGCCCTAGCACCATGCACAGGCCTCACTCTGGTCTCTTCCGGCTGCTGACTCATGGCCCGACCTTGGACAAGGCCCTCCCGAGCCTCAGCCGCTTCAGCTGCAAAATGGATCAGAAACCCACGCTACTCAGGGCTGGAAAGAGGATCGTTTTGGAAAAGGAATGTAAGAATGATAGCTCACAACCAATTGTCAACTCTGTTTGGGCCTCCCAACCTCCAGGCAGTGGGTTTGACCCCTTGTTAACTTTGAGTGAGTTACTTTAACCTCTCTGGGTCTCAATTTCCCCATGGGTAAAAGGAAGAGACAAGCAGAACCCATCTCCTCTGGTTGTATTAATTGAGATGTTACTTGGTAAACACTCAGCTGAGGTTATCGATTGTATCGCTGTGCCATTATCATTGCTATTAAGCCTCCGTTTGCTTTTCTGGGGCAAGGGGAGGTGACTTGCTTGAAACTCTCTCTGGTTATTAATATTATCATCGCTCAGCATTATACCTGTCCTTCTAGGCCCTGTGCTGCGATGCAAAAATGTTATAAAGCCCATTTCTTCTTTGCATTTTTCCTTCTGCTTCTGCTTAACTTACTCTTTATATGTTCAATTGTCTCTGTCAAAATACCCAGTCTGGTTTCTGTCTTCCTTCCTTCCTGGGGTTGATACAGCACCCTGAGGCCCCAGCATCTGGCTCAGGTTCTGACTCCTCCTGAGGCCTGGGACAGGAGAGCTTTTCCATAAAGATAACTTTGTGGGCTGCATTCCTGAGCCCTGAAGTCACCTGTGTCACGGAGTCACACGGCTCCCCTCTCAGGGCTTTCTCTGGGCCATTCACAGGGCCGAGGCCTGCACCCCCCTCCCCAGAGGCTCTCTCACTCACCAGACACCTCCACGTAGCCATCCTTGGTCTTCACCATCAGCTCCTCCGGCTTGAAGCTATGCACATTGACACACACTTTCCAGGGCTCTCCGGGGAAGGGTGGGGGGCTCCTGCCCTCGGCAGGAACCCCAAACCTGGCTGGGGCAGTGGGTCCCCGGGGCACCATACCGGACCTCAGGGTCCCCGGCCAGGCAGAGGGGAGACGAGGCAGAGCCCAGTCAGGCCAAGAGGCGGTCAAGTCGTCCGGGAAGGGGTCCATGCCAAAGCCGTCATCCAGCAGGCGGGAGGAGAGCGGTGAGTCCCGGAAGGGGTCTCGGCGCAGCCGGCTTGGGTAGTGGCAGGAGAAAGGCATCTGACCATCAGCCATGGTAAATGCTGAGCTCACAGGGAGAACAGAGGCTCAGAAGAGGAAGCCACCTACCCAAGGTCACACAAGAAAGCGAGGTAGGTGGGATGGCTTTCAGAACTTATGTTTCAGCTTCAGAGAAATGCTGATCTTCCGTCAGGGAGAAGCAGAACCATTCACTGCCAAGAATAGCCGTGCTCACCAGGCTAGGGTCTGGGCCCCCAAAGGTGAACCCCAGCTGTTTCCACAGAATTCAACAGGGCCCCTCTCTGTACGGCCTCAGCAGAGAGCAGCAAGCCACCGTCCTCCCTGGCTGCCCAGGCTCCCAGCCAGAACTGCGGAGGTCGAGTGGAGAGTGGAGCCAGGAGCCTAATAAACCTCAGAGACACTCACCTAGAAACTTCTCCCGGCTTCTGGGCGGGGAGCCTTCTATTTATTTGCTGCTGGGGGCTGGAGGCGGGTTTTGCTAGCGCCTCCTGTCACAGGAGTATTCCAAGGTGATGAACCAGCCCCAGAGAATCCGCTGAGGGAACAGCTGGGCTCCCAGAGGGGCCTGGGAGGGGCCAAAGTCAAGGCATTCAAGTTCAGCCAGCCTCTCCGGACACTCTCCTCCCCCAGCCTCGGCGAAGCTCCGCCTTCGCTCTCCTCTCCAAGCCTCCTCCCCAAGCAGGGCACTAAAGCTCCGGGCTATTAATAACCCTTGCCTGGCTGAGTGAGGGCTCAGGTCACCCTCTGGAAATACCTTCCCCAGAGCATGTTCCATCCTGCCTCCCCCTGGAGACCCGCAGAAGGGGATGGCAGAGACAGAACCCGGGTGAACTTAGAGGCAGACAACCTGAGTTGAGGTTCGAATCCTCACTCACAACCTGGTTAGGAGCAGAGCCGGGAGCTTTTATAATTTCAGTTTAGAGTCATCTGAGAGTGAGAGACAAAGGAAGTTTGCTATCTAGATGACCCTGGTTAAAGCACAGCGAGGGAAGGGAGGCTACTGGACAGAGCTATAGTGATAGAGATAGTGATTGCAGCGCAGATTTTGCAGTGGGGGGAAATATTGGGATCAAGTCCTAGTGCAGCATGGGTATGGTGGGCATTTGGAGCCGGAGAGCAGGATGGGGTAAGTGGATGGAAACCTAGGGCTTGGGATGGGAGGGTGAAGGGGATTCTGGTTAAACTGACCTAGCAGGATTCTTGCTGGAGACACCAGGGTTATCAGAGTTGGCCTGGGGGTTGGTGGAGGCTGAAGAAGCTGATGAGATATGGAGGGTGAGCAGATGTGTAGGGGTGGAGGTTGTCCCGACACGGACTTAACAGGGTTCTTGTGAAAACTGGATTTTATAAGAAAATGCACAGATGGACCTCCAGAAAGGTTCAGGAGCCTGACCAAAGTCTGGTCAAGCCAAGAATCTCGGTCAGCTGTAACATTATTCCCAGGCATCTCTGGGCTGTCTGCTTTCCCACCTGTGACATGGATATGAGAGTAGCTTCCTCGTGGGTGTGTCTTCAGGGTACATGAAACCAAACTCAAGTGGCACTGAACGAGGAATCGGTGTTTTTATATTTTCAACCTAAAGTTATCAGCTACATAAAGACTGAGCTAGGCTGAGCCCTGGTATAAGCACTTTATGAATATTAACTCCTTTAATCTGCCCTGATGACTCAGTAAGGCAAGGTTTACCAACTACTACTCCATTTTACAGTCGAAGAAAATGCCATTGGAAGTGTAGGGAATGATAGCTTCTATTTTTATTACGACTGCTAATAATGGTAATCATCAGATGGACTCTACCCAACCAGGCTGTTGGTTTGGAAACTCATAACCCAGACAGGACAGATTTTCTAGATTCCCCTACTCCTTTATGCCACTAGAAGAATGAATTTTCAACTAGGCTTGGTGGTGCATACTTGTAATCCCAGCACTGTAGGAGAATAAGGCAGGATCCTAAGTTTGAGCCTACTCTGGACAACTTAGTAGGTTAATGAGACCCTGTCTCAAAATAAAGAATTAGAAAACGGCTGGGGAACTAGCTCATTGAAAAGATCCTGGCTTTAATCCTCAGTACTTCCAAGAAATGAATTCACAAATATTCCTTTGGCCGAGAGGCTTGGGCTTGGGGTTTGATCTTCTCTCTGTCTGCAGCAAGTGGGGAGCCATGAGCACACTACTTTGCCTCGGGGGGCCTCAGGGTCTCAGCTCTGTCAGCTTCAAGTGGTGGGAGTGGGATGGAGGTGTTGCGGAATCTCGTGAGTCATAAGTTTAGAAATTGCTGTGATATGAAGCAGTGCCTTCATGAGGTGAGGGAGGCTGCTAAAAATAATAATACAGAGAACAACAACCACCATGTTCAAGTCTCATCTCCCGTGGGTCGGCCACTTCTGCGAGCCTTTGCAGACAGGGCATTGAACGTCTCAGCGATACCTTTATTACAGGCTGGGAAACAAGTGCAGAGCCCTGGCCCTCACACATAGGTGTGGGTGGCAGGGCCCAAGTGGGAGCACTGGTGCTTCTGGAGCCCAGATCTGGCCTGAGCTGACTGGGGAGACCCTGACCTCCCGCTCCTCCAGAGCCCAAAGCTCCTCCAGAGCTCCAAGAGTCCCCTCCATGTGACAGGTTCCGAGGGCCTGGGCTGCGGGGTGAGGTGGGGTGAGCTCATCTATCTAGAAGCTTCAGGCTTACGTCATGGCTGGGCACAGAATCCGCAGCTCTCTCTGTAATTACAACGGGGCAGGGCAGCAGGCTGAGAGCTTGACGCCAGTTAGGAGAATCACTGCATGAGTCTCAGGAGAAACCCGGCCCTGCCTGGGACAAGGAGTGGTTTGGGGAGGTTCCCGTGTGGGTGGCCTGGTCCGGAGCGAGCATGTGTGTGGGTCTGAGCGGTGAGTGTGTGTTTCAGGGCGAATGGACTGTGAGGATCTACTGGGAGCCTGCTGCGGAGCGTGCTCTGGAAAGCATCCCCCACCGCCCCACACCTTCCTTCCACAACTCCACCCTGAAACTCTCAGGAGACCTTTCCACCTGGATCAGGGGGCCAGAAAGGTGAGGAAGCCTTGATGGCCTCCTCCACCTTCTCAAGGCCGAGGGGAGAGGATGAAGGATGTGCAGGAGGGAAACAAAAAGTGATCCTTGGCGTTATGGGGCCCTTGCCAGGTGCCGACTTGTTTAAGCCTAAGCACTTTGAATTTATTCTTCACCATCTATTCCTCCTCAAAATCTTGTGAGGAAGAGACTTTTGTTACCTCCATTTTACAGTTGAAGAAACTGAGGCATAGAGAGTTTATATGGCTTGCCTATGTATACATACGTGTTTAAATGGCAGAGCTAGGATTTGAACCTAAGCAGTTTGGCCCTTGACCCTGCTATACTTCCTCTGAAATCAGTCACGGCTCACAGTTATGAAGCACTGACTGTGTACAGGCTGTGCTTAACAGTTTTATTCACAACCTCATCATATCTTTATGGGTCAGAGAGGTAAATTCACCTGCCCCAGGCCACACAGCCAGTGGGATATTGACACACAGTAATATCCAGATACTGCCCAGGACTGGCCCAGCAGTTTCCCCTCACTGATTGTGTCCCATTCCCCTTGGGGCTCTTGCTGCATTTCTAGGTCAGACCAGCTTTCCATTTTGGGAAACTGGTAGAGAAGGCAGGCAGTTGCTAGTCCTGCTGACCCAGCCACCTGGTGAGGAGTCAGCTAACACGTGTGGAAAGTGATCAGTAAACCCTGCTGGTGAAACCAGTGAACCCAACTGGGTGAAAATAAGGGGCCAGGGAGAAAAACAAACTTGGTTCTCCCAGGGAAGATGAGACCCCGGGGGGGGGAGAGAGAGAGAGAGAGAGAGAGAGAGGAGTGTACGTGATAGGGTACAAGAGGTGTTAGAGCCCAGAAACCAGAGCAAGGGCTTGCTTTCTTGGCTGGCATTTTCTTAAAGCTTTCACATGGGAAATACCACAGTTAACCCTCAAAACAGCCCAGGAAGTGGGTGACATCACCCTACATTTTTGAAACTGGGGCCCAGCGGGCAGATTCAGTCACCTGAAGTCACACAGGTAGCATCAGGACAAAGACATGGGCTTATCAGCTGCAAAGCTTCTGTACTTTTTCTTTCTAATATAGAAAAAAAAAAAAAAGGAAATTCCTTTCTTCTCCTAGGGGAATTCTAGTCATGAGACCCTCTCCCTGGGCTCCTTTGGCAACCTGTATCTCCATCCCAGATGGAGTGAGGGTCTCTGTGAGAGTGAGGCATGGTTTTCTGGGGTCTTTTTTCCGCAGGCGTCATGTACAGTTTCTGGGGTGTGGGGCTGTGGTTGGAGAAGCAGGTGGAGCCTGGGATTCTCCCACATGCACGGAGGCTTCAGGTCCAGGGAGACCTGTGCTCCGGTCTTTTCTTCCTCCTTTCCTCAGACCCCTAGGATGCCACTGATGGGCTCTGCACCCTTGAGGGCTAGACCTTTGCTCACAGGCACCCCCGGGTGTCTGGTGTGTTGCGGGGGCCGGCAGACTTTGGTAGAGAAGGCGACAACCCATCAACAGCCTGTGGTGTGGATCATCCAGCCCCCCACTGTGGGACCCTGGACACCCAGGAATGACTCTGAGAAGTTGACTGAAACATCTGAAGTAGAAGGCACTGGAAGCTTTCTGAGAAGGCGCGTGTTTTACCTTCGCAGTTGTCCCAGAGAAGTTTGCACTACTATCATTCCCACTGCATGGGAGAAGAAACCGAGTCTCAAGGCATGAAGTGACTTACTCATGGTCACCACCTTGCGGATTGTGAATCTGAGGCTGTCTTAATTTTAAGCCCAGTTCTCTTTTCTCTGCCATACACTCTTATAAAAATGAGAGAACAAACAACAACTCACATATCACTTTCCTAAATAAGTCCATGCCTTCATAATCTCAAATAAGCAATACTTATTTATTGAGCTCCAACTTCCTCCTATCATTTTCTCCAAGATTATTTCTCCTGATCACCTCCAATAATAATGATAATAATAATAGTACCACTAATAACAAAACCTTATTTAATATTCTGTAACAATATTAAGTAATATATATATATATGCACATACACACACATATCAATGTATTCAATTCTCACCTAAATTGCTCTAAAATAGGTGTTTTTAACTCCTACTCACAAAGAGCACTATGGAAGCACAGAGCGATTAAACAACTTGTCCTAGGTCACATAGCTACTGATCCGCAGAGCAATCTGGCTCCAGCTTTTGTGCTCTTGACAAACACAAAATCATGCGCCAAGCCCTTCTGAATGCCTTATATGAGTCACCCCCCGCCACTTAGTTTTCTTCGTCTTTGAGGCCGTTGTACTCTTGTTAACCTCACTGTTCCATTGAGAAGATTAAACACACAGTCGGCTCTGCACAGCCTGGCTCCAAAGCCTGCACTTGGAGCTGTGTGGGGAGGTCTTGTCCCCTGCCCCCACCATGTGCCTGGCCAGAGCACTGGCTCTCGAACTCCAAGAAGGAGGCTGGGCCATCTCTTTCCCCCATTTGCTCCCTGGGCTTCTTTCCCTGAGAGCTTCTCCCTCCCTTCCAGATCTTCTTAGG